CCAACGCCCGGAGCAGCGCCCCCTGCTGAACACTCTGGTGGCAGCGCTGCGCCCCCCACTCGGGCCTAACGTGGAGTCCAGGGCTACAGCCGCCTTCTTCCACCGCAGCGCTTTGCCCCTACCCTTGCCAAGCAAGTGTCATGGCCCAAGGCTCCCGCCACAACCGGGTGCCCCGCCTCCCCTCCCCACGGCGATGCGACACTCCTCCCGTCCGCCCGCCCTGCGCCCGAGACACGAACGCGCCCTCCTTGGTTCGAGGCTCCGGGGCACAGCGCGTCCCCGCCCAGCTTCTAACCCACTCCCCTGCGGTGAGACACCCGCCCCTCCCCCTCCTATTCCGCGAGTGCCTGCGACGCCAGAGGTGGGGCCGCGGAAGGGCTCGGCCCCTCCCGGCCGCCTGGCACCGCGACCCGGTGGCCAACGCGCGCTGAGAGGCCATAAGGGCGCGCGGGGCGGCCCCGAAGGCGTGTTTTCTATCACCGGTTCAGCGGTTCCCCACCCTGACACAGCCCCCAAAGGATCGGAGCCGGCAGCCAGAGCAAGGGGGGGACCCGTATGGGAGAAAGAGAGGGCAGGGGCGGGAGACCGATGGACATGGACGGACCGTCGGAAAGGAAAGATCAGGGCGTGGAATTTGCGCTTAAGCGGGAACCAAGCTGTTAAAGGAGCTCAGGAATTGCAAAGGCAGCCCCGGGGTGACGAGGGGACCCCTGCGCGGAGTGGCGCTCCGAGTCCGACTGTACGCCGAGCTGGCGACCTTCAGCCCGCCTTCAGGGTCGGGCCGGCTAACGGAGAGCGGCTACCGGGTCTGTCCGGGCGCAGCCAGAAGCCGGGAGGGCGGGCGGCCAAGTGGCGGCTCCGTGCTCATTTCCCCCGCCGCGGTCACAACTCGGGTCCCGGGGCGAGTGGAGGGGAAGCCCGGCGGCGGCAAAGCTCCGGAACACGCTCGCGCGGGCGGCAGAGCGCTTGGGCCCGCCGCTGGCAGGGGCACGTCCCGGAGGCCACGTCTCAGAGGGACGCGCAGGGGACGGAGGTCATCGGCGGGTGTCAGCTCAGCTCCAGCCCGGACATCCCGAGTGCGAGAACGTCCAGCGGATCGACGCGCCGCTGTTAGGAGAACTGAGGGCCTGGGCCGGGCGGGCCCCCGAAGAAGGGCAGGTGCGTCCTTTCCCTTTAACGTTGCATTTGCTACCGAATCCGAAATCTAGACTGGGGCGGTGCGTCCTGATCACTCTGAGCAGGCCATCAGCGTCAACACGACGCCGCCAGATCCAAAGCCGCAGGGTGCGGATCTCCCGAGTTCCCCTGCACCACCGCTTCGTCCCAAACCAACTCCTTAGTCGTCGCCTTTCGCGCCACCGCGGAGACTTGGCGCTCACTCAGCTTGGGGTTGTGAGACACTCAACACTGGGGGACGTTTGGGGCCTGGAGGGAGAAGCCTGGCTAAGTTCAGCACTCGTGACCCCGAGGCCGATCAGGTGGGCCGAGGAGAAAGACCTGAGATTAGCGTGGGAGGGTCTGGACAGGAAGGTCGGATCTTGGGGCCTGGGTCAGCGCTGCCAGCGCTCAGGGTCTTACCATTGCCAGAAAGCGCTACTGCGGGAGTGGGGGCTGGGATGACCAGGTTGCCTTAGCACCCCCTGCCTTTCTGACTGGGGTTGAGAGTCAGCGACCAAGCCATGGTCACAGGTTTCCCTCTCTTGGGGCGGGAACAAAGTGGCCTTGCAGGAATCGTCGCACACCAGCTGTCAGTGCACCCCTAGAGACACCGGTCAACAGCAGGTGTCTCTGCCTGACACCAGTGCTGGGTCCTACTGTCTTACTCAGCCTCCTTTCCCCCTGTAGCCCTGCTCGCAAGGTCTTTGACTGTTTTACAAATCAACTCTTGACTGTGATTGGTGCAAACACCCTGGGAGCCTTGGGCTGGGGTCATAGTCCTGGGTCTAGATGTGGCTTTGACCTTTGGCAGCAGGCAGCTTGCCTTGTCTCAGCTTCAGTTTCCCCAGCTGTACAAAGGAGAGCATGCAAGAGTCCTGGCACAGTCTGGGCACAGCAGGTGACAAATGCTTTTTGATTACAGGACACCCTGCCCTGAATCCCTGCACTCTTGCTGTCCTGGTGGGAAACTTAGTTCCTCTGAGACTGAATTTACTCATTTGTAAAATGGGAGGATTCTCACCCCAAGAAATTTGCATGTGGCCAGGATAACAGGCTGGAACTAAGGAGGCTCAGTCCCCCTGCCCCCAATCTGTTCTGAATCCCAAAGATGGTAATGGCAGAGAGAGAGGCCAGTCATACACAATGGAAGGCTTCAGAGAAGAGACAACCTCTCCCACCTGTGCTTCTTGGTCTGTACAGTGAGGGCAATCCTCACTTCCTTCCTTCCTTCCTTCCTTCCTTCCTTCCTTCCTTCCTTCCTTCCTTCCTTCCTTCCTTCCTTCCTTCCCTCCCTCCCTCCCT